CAAATGCTAGCAATAAAGAGAAATTGAAAAGTTTTTACAATATTATCATTCTTTAAAGTATGTCTTGCGCTGTCCTATGAAATAAATTATTCACATATGCCTGTAAATAAGTAACATACTCCCACAAAGTTACATACTACCACGAAGCCAAAATACTTACCATTTCAATTTTATTGCTCTGTAAATGCCTATCAGCTGAAATCCTTTGTGACGTCATAATGAATGACGTAACAATACCAATTTGAAGCAAAATGAAATATTAGGTAAATGCAGTCAAGTATGATAATTCCGGACAATGTCGAATCCACATATTAATCTTTTATCTCAAAATTTTGAGAAGCGGTAGCGGGTTCGGAACATCTTATTTTAATTAGACTGTTTTCAATTAAAATTAATTTTAAAGTTAATTGTATTGAATAAATTAATTTAAACATTTTAAAATTTAAAGAATTGATTACGAACATGTCTAAATCATTGTCTGGGGATATGCATGTCGTCGCCTTAAACTACCGCTCGGACTTCGCCTATAGCAATCTCTAGAGTCAGTGAAGAGGATCGTATATTTTGGCTGTCGTTTGCGACCTAAGGATTTTTGGCTGTAGTTGGCGACATAAGGATATGTTTGATGACCGTACATGTCATTGGCGTCGGTAGCCAAGTTGGGGACGGGGTTAAGTGTAAGAGAAAAAAATTCAGACCTACAAAAACCAGAAGTCTCTGTTGAGACTGTAGCTCTACTGGTTTGTACTTATCAAAAACCATTGCACTATTTTATGTATCTTTGTGTAATCTACCTGTGTGCCAACTTATTTTAAAATCAAACTAAAACTGTAGAAGGAGTAGCGTTTTAAAGGAATTTCACAGAAAATTCTATTTTTAGTAACCGTTGTAACCATCGAAATCAAAAACCGAAGCACTATTCTATGTATCTTAGTGTAGTCTACTTGTGTGCCAAGTTATATTGAAATCAGATCAAAACTGTAGAAGGAGTAGAGTTTTTAAGGAATTTCACAGAAAATTCTATTTTTAGTAACCATGGCAACACCATACATCGAAATCAAAAACCGATGCACTATTCTATGCATCATAGTGTAGTCTACTTGTGTGCCAAGTTACATTGAAATCAGACCAAAACTGTAGAAGGAGTAGTGTTTTAAAGGAATTTCACAGAAAATTCTATTTTTCGCAACCATGGCAACACCGTTCATCGAAATCAAAAACCGATGCACTATTCTATGTATCTTAGTGTAGTCTACTTGTGTGCCAAGTTATATTGAAATCAGACCAAAACTGTAGAAGGAGTAGCATTTTTAAGGAATCTCACAGAAAATTCTATTTTTAGTAACCATGGCAACACCATTCATCGAAATGAAAAACCGATGCACTATTCTTTGTATCTTAGTGTAGTCTACATGTGTGCCAAGTTATATTGAAATTAGACCTAAACTGTAGAAGAAGTAGAATTTTTAAGGAATTTCACAGAAAATTCTATTTTTAGTAACCATGGCAACACCGTTCATCGAAATCAAAAACCGATGCACTATTCTATGTATCTTAGTGTAGTCTACTTGTGTGCTAAGTAATATTGAAATCAGACTAAAATTGTAGGAGGAGTAGCATTTTGAAAAATTGTTTACAGACAGACGGACAGACAGACAGACAGACAGACAGACGGACGGACGCCGGACGCATTACTATCGCATAAGCTCTTCTGGTCTCTGACCAGTAGAGCTAAAAATTAACAAGCAAAAAAAAAAAAGAAAGAAAGAAAATGTGTCCATGAGAAAACACAAAATTCCTATTTCAGGGTGGGGGTGGGGGGGGGGGTGTTATGTTTCAGCTTTCAGTTCAATTTTTGTCCAAGCAGTACCATTTACCCCTTTTCTTTTCTGACTGAAACTGCAACATGTCCTTAGAAGGGGGGGGGGTACACCTACGCCCCAACGAAATATTTTTATTCACTGTCGATAACCTAGCCCATTTAACACGAACATCTCTGGAGTCATATTAGTAACAGTTCTCGAGTGTGTGTCCATGTCTGTCTGTCCGTTGTAAATTTTTCGTCTCATTTTTCTTAACATCTCATCATAGATGCAGCATGCTTGATGAATTTAGCTTACACTTTGGCATGCCATATGATGGGATTCATTTTGACGATGCATGCCATATGATGGGATTTATTTTTGTACGAATCCAATGTCAACTTCCTGTTTATCCGTACATCTGATCTGTCCGCAGCATACATTTTTTTCTCAGCAATTACTCAGTACCCTTTGCAGATGCTTAAAAAGCACAAACTTTGTTGAGACATACAATATGGCAGGATTCATCTTTGTACGAATCCCATGTCAATGCCCTGGTTTAATTAATATCTATGCAATATTAGTATGTTACAAATTTTAGTCATAAGGTTTAACTATTGCTGTTGCTTGAAATTTTAGCACATTCTTTATTGAGGCTCGTCATACAATATCAGGAATATGGTGGGATTTAGCTGCAGAACTGAAATGAGCGACACATAAATTTTTTTTGCGGTTTTTACAATGCAAAGATCTGTGGCTCTCTTCTTTATCTGTCTGAGTACTCGTAAGCAGAGAACTACAGTTTTATAGCTAGGTGTGATTCAACTTCCTCTTCATTCCTCTTTCTGTTCATACGGGGGTCATTCAAAAAATACGTAGATAATATTCCTCAACATCAAATATTTTCTACAAAATTTAAGATCAACACATTTTTATATCGAAAAACGTTTATTTTATCGATGTGTGAAGTTTCATTCCATTTCATTGAATGGAACTTATGATAGCCAGTTTTAAAAACAACATATTTTATCGAAACGAAGCGCGATTAATAATCATCAATCCTGTCTATACAGGGTAATTTTTCGCCCCGTGTTAATTTCGACCTTTTTCCACTTGCGAACAGTTTTGTCCCATTATAAATTCGCCCAATCTCTCCTTGCTGTTGAATGGTTTTAATTAACATTGAGGATTGTTCCGATTGAAAACAAACATCATATCCTGTGTGATATAAAATTCAACTCTCCAAGAGTATGATGTATGCTCGTAGTGACAAAAAGTTGCCGTTGTTAACTAAAATAAACCTTCAGTGACTTCAGAAAACATTATCCCAAATAACTATAACAAATACTGTATTCGGGGAAATGTTCACCCCCGTTTTATTATCGCCCCTTTCGCCCTACCCTCATTTTGGCGAATTTTAAACGGGGCGAAATAAAAAGAATACAATATAATTTCTTCAACAAAACTATGACTGGGCGAATTTTAACTGGGCAAAATTGATTGCAAGTGTTAAAGGGCGAAAATAAGACGGGGCGAAAATAATCCTCTAACAAAATATATACATGTATTGGCAATGAAAGCTTCATTTACACTAGTCCGAACTGTAGAATAGTACTTGACACACTGTAAAAATCGTTCCTAAACTGAAGAAAACGATTTAAAATCCACTGGACTTGGTTCAGTGCATACAATGTATATTGTCTTTGTGTTACAAATAAAATTCGTAAAAATTAATTCTTTAATTAGGCCTTGACGGGGTCTTTGTTCTCCGCTGAATCCTCTTTTTTATCTTCAGATTTCTGCAAAAAAATATATATATAATAATGCATGATAACAAAAAGAGATTGAATTTTACAATATTTAAAGAACTTTTAAAAATCAGTAATTTTCTTAATTTAAACTCCATAGAAGTTCTATTTTCCTCACATTTTGGAAAACCAATTGCTTACTGCATTTTTCTGTCCGTATCAGTAGTACATAATGTATATGCCAGTGTTCCAGTGAATTTTCACAGAACTTTTATTAAAAATTAATTTAAAAATATTATTATTTGTTTCTTTCTTTGCATGTTGTTATAATAAATGTCCCTATAACGAGAATTTTTCACTTATAATATGGAGACGCCACCACTTGCCGGTGGAGAGCTACACTCAAGCACTTATAATATGGAGACGCCACCACTTGCCAGTGGAGAGCCACACTCAAGCACTTTGGACCATTGAGGGATCTTTTTTGAGTCAGCATCCAATGCGACACTGGACCTCAGTTAATGCGGTCCCATCCTTTTTTATTTTTTCCTACCTCAGAATCATCCTTTTGTGATATTTTCTTCTCTCCTTCGAGTGACACTCTCTTGTACAGGTCCTGGACATTGGACAATATCAGTGCCACGGTGGCCAGCCCTACTAAGATCCACAAGCTACTCAGCAGTTTGTACGGCGCACGGTAGTCGGAATCAGACGTTCCTGTATCGAAAAAAAATCAATTTAATGTAATTCATTTTGTCATGCATGTCATCGTATGGTCTAAGATGAAAGTTTTATCCAATTTGCCATGTGTGTTAGCATGAAATATCCAAAGTTTTAACCCAATATTTTCGCGGATATTAGGAATGCTTTGTGATATTTTATATACCTGTTTTTTCTTACCCTTTTTACAGGGGATGGGTGGGTGGTTTAGGGCTTATCTAATAACAATGATTAAATATTTCTCAAATTTCATCCTTTGATAGCTTTTCTTGACTATCATAAAAGAAAGGCCATTCACCATTTAAGGAAGTAAGAAATGCAAGTATGTAATATCACTCTTTGGTTTAACGCCATATATGGCGTATGTACAATGAAAATTATTAGACTAAAATTATAAGATCTTATTATTTGTATCATAACTTTATATAAAGATAGATCTTTTCCGTAAATTACAAAATCTAAGTCAATTGCGTTATAAAGATTTCCCAATTTAATTTGAATTCTCGGAATTTTCTCCGACTTGGAAGAAAATACAAAATATCTAAATAACACAATTAGAGAGAAGATAAAATTGTATTATTAGATGAAAAGAGGTGTTCTCCGTGTTCAGAATTGTATGAAAAGCTTTAATTTAAATGTATTAACTTTATTTCTTTTCTTTATTTTGTATTTTTACGTATTTTGTAATTATGTATTTTTCAAAAATATTTTTTTTTGATCAGTTACGCCATATATGGCTTTAAGTGAAAATTATTAATACAAAACAAATAAATGATATCACCTTAACATTTATGGTTCAGCGACCCTCTTACAAGAGAGATAACTCACACTTGGACGAGTAAAAATTCATTTTTGTCCTATAAGGAGTATTGAAATTGTGTGCGCTTTAAATATATTTTGTAAATCAATCACACATTAAAGAAATTGTATATAATTGAAAAAAGGGACGATAAACCTTTTAAAAGAAATCAATCTCGCTAAAATTCACTTGAGGATAAATGTATGAAGGAAGAATTTTTAGGTTCAATTCACTTACACACAATATATTAAATCGACTTTTTTACCCGTGGAATGAAACACGATTTCTGCTTCATACATCGATATAAAATTATAGATTTTTAGCACCAGGTTGACAGTCATGATTGATTGTAACATTTTGTATCAAGTTGTTTTTAATGGAAAATAAAATAAAAGTGTTTACAGTACCTAAAACGAAGTCTCCAAATCCAATGGTCGTGAGTGTGATTATGGTATAGTACACGGAATCTCCGTAAGACCAGCCTTCAATGGCCGAAAAAATGGCGGCGGGAATTAAAGAGTTCAAAATGAAAATTAATAAAATTAAAAGAAACGTCTTTAACGCTTGATCTGCTTTCTCGTTTTTGTTAATGAACACTTTGTCTTTAAGTGGTTTTAATAAACCGTCTAGTTTTTCACCCAGTCCAGTTAATATTAGCGCCATCATCGGTATTCCTATCAAACCGAAGATGCAGACGAAAGCTTTCCCGCCACCTGTAGCAGGCGATTGGTTTCCATAACCTGAAATAAAAAAAAAATTAGTTGAGATGTTACACTGTAAATGTAACAATTAATATAAAAGTTTATGCCATAATTCAAAGGAGATTTTGAAATATTTTGTTTATCATATTTTTTCAGTTTAACACTCTTTTTCTTTTTTTTAATGACAAATTACTATTTATCATAACTTGTACGTATTGAATTTACTAGATAAATGCAAAATTTTCCTTGGTGAATATACCGGGTAATTATACCTATTGTGGTGACGGCAGTCATAGCAAAGAATGTGGAGCTGGCGTAGTCCCACTGGGACGCGGAAGTGTCTGTGTCCGTCACTAGCACCCCCTCATCATAGGCCTGTATAACGGCCTGGACGAACTGTCGGACCTGGGCAGTGGTCACGCAACTACTGACAGCTGGTAAAAGGTCAAAGACACAAAATTAGTGTTTGTATTTGTCTCCACAAAATCTTCAATTATCAATTGTCCTCAAGGACCACTGAGTATTTCACCTTTAGAGATTTTGAACTCAAAGAAAATTGCAAAAATAAAGATTTCTTTTCTTTGAAATTTTTAGAAAAAAAAGTAATGAAAACTTCCATAGATATTTCAATCTTTAAACCAAAAAAAGATAACTTACTTCCGGAGAAATTGAAGAATGTAGAAGAAGCTGAGGTCTGCGTTTGTTGCTCGTTAGTGTGTTCAATCCCATAAAGAATAGCTCCCCCGATGAGGACATACACTATCATCACAACCAGCAGAATTAACAGAGTTTTGGTTTCCATGATAAATTCCCTGGAACTTGCTAAATCTCACTCTCTGTAGCTCCGTCTCTGGTTAAAAGTTGATATTTCACTTTCTCATGTTCACTGGAATTTGAAGAATCAACTATTCCATTAAGAGGGCGTGGAATTTAAAGCGTATCTCTAAAATTATAAGTGTTAAAGATATTAGCCTCTGAACTGTCCTAAATCAGTAAACAAAGGTCAAAATGTATATGTACTTGCATACACTAGTGCCTTTCTTACTCGGCCCACGTGTTTGCGTTGGTGTATCCCATAGAAATAATGTATAGGTGAATGCATACATGCAAGTGTATATGTACGAAAGGTGGAATAAGTGGACCGAAAATGTCAAAAGATATTTAAAAATGGGGTAGAGAAATTTAAATGATCGATTAATTTTTAATACATTGCTGGTGGGGTAAATTCTTAATTTAATTACAATAGTACACTTTTAAAAGCGTATATATGCACGGTGTGTTTACGCACACGTAGCTGATAATTTTAAAATTGTATGATCTTGCCCCCCCCCCCCCTCCCCCGCCCTTTACACAAAAAATATTTAAGAACTCGACACTTTATGCACTTTTTATGCAAGATCCTTTTTAAGTAAAAATTGCAAGTTAACGAAATCTCAAAAAATATCTTATTTCTTCCAACATATTATTATTAAAATGTAAAATTTAAATAGTCTTAAATCAAAATATTGTACATATATGCTTTTATGATAAAAAAAAAAAACGTAATACACTCGGTTTTTAATGTAATGTGTTAGGGAACTCTCATTCAAAATAATTCAATTGAAATTTTGTTTGAAGTCTTCATCTGTTTTATAATCAAGAGACCAATAGTAACCTATATTACGACATGGAATAAAGTATATTCTTCAGGTCTGAATATATCTAAGAGGTGAGATCAAGTGCATGTTCATGTAAATGTATTTAATTTAAGTTTAAATTTTAATCGTATTAAAATATTATCATGGCACTATGGATCTAAAATGGACATCGTCCTAAAAAAATCTGACGCTCACCACAGAAATATCAATTTGAATATTTTTTTAAGAATACTCATCCATTTACCATTCTTGCGTTTCTTTACAATAATGACATGCCATCCATGTGTCTTATTTGCACGATATTTTGGGGTTTAATAAAATAAAATATTTGCTGTTGTAGGAAATACATGTATTTATTACAATATAATTGTAAGATATCACTGACCGCACGCGTGTATATGTAAATCCCTTTCATTTTTATAGCGAATTAATAAAATCTCAAATATTACATTCATGCAATCGGCCACCCCATCCAACTTTTAAAAAACCAACACATCTATAAACGGATAGAAATACATTTCCGTGTACTAGTACCTTTTATCCGGTTGTTCACTGCAAGAAATACATGAAAAAATATATAGAACAAACATAGGGGTAACAGGAGTCTGTTTAGAGATACATATGTGATTTTCACAATCTAATCAGATTAGTGATTTTAAAAATAAGGGAATTTTAGAAATTGTATGAAACCATGTTTATATGCTTATTTTCAGCATGTGAAATAGTTATACATTTATTTATATAAAATATAATTTAGCACGAAAAAATACAGAAATTATGCAAGTTTTCTTTAAAATTAATCATTTTAGGGTATATGTAAATTCTTTTGAATCCCCCCTCCCCCCTACGTTAAATAAGATTTCTACCAACATCAAAATATAACGTCATATGGCCCGTAGCTCAGTGCGTTTTATTGACAAGGTGTATAATTTAATTAAAGATAGGTGTGAGTACCCTTTCTTGTGTTGAGGCTTAATAGGTAGGAACTTCTAAATTATTCAAAAGATTGATCTGACTTTGGCCGAATCTCCCAGATGCGCAATAATTTCTTGGTTTTACTTCAGACTGTGTCTCAGGAATTTCTAACACAAAGGATGAACTAGCTGACGATTTTTTTTTTCATTTTGTGGAGTTGAGTATTATTCCGGTGTTCAATACAACAATGGAACCCAAAATTTGGATTCCCGGCTTTTCTAATCGAACAAAACCGTTCCACAAGTGCCAAATATGGAAACTCCGAAGACTATTTTACGATAAAAAGGATTTGAAAACAGACGTAATTTCCCCCTATCCTTTAAACCTCCGTCAGCCTTATGGTAGTAAAAAACTTCTTATAAAAGAGATTTTTCCTGGTGCTATTTTGACTATATTTCTAATTTTATCACAAACGTCATCAACAACCGCTCAAGTGACCCGTCCGTTCCCAGAGATCTACAACATTGCGGAGAATCGCCCAGTGGTCAGTAAACCTTCGGACAGTGCTTGTGGCGTCCCTACCCGGAACGCCTACTGTGAAAGCACCGTGTACCCGATATCCGTCCAGCAGTGCACCCAGTTATTCTGTGTCCAGATTTGCCCCAATAGGACGGCCTTGCCCCCCTCAGTGGACCTTTTGATCTCCACTAGCCCCGGCCTGGGGACGTGTGTCGTCACGGACACTGTGAACACCCACCCCAATAGCCGATTGGGGGAGTTCTCCACGTATTTTGTGCAGACTGGTCCCCCCTGCTATGCAACGCCCTCCAGTTCTTTTGGTATCGGTGCAAACGGAGACTTTACAATCAGTTTTTGGGTGTGGCAAGAAACTGGCAATAATGGGTAAGATATATTATGTTATACATGTGTTGATATTAGGTGGTTGGAAGAATGTGAATACATGCAAGAGACCTAGAGTTTTTATTTTAAAAAATGAATTATTATTAAATTGAAGTTGGGTTGTTAGAAGTGGAGGATGGTGAATGGGTTAAAAAATGCATGTATGTATAAATCTTACCTTGCAAAGAATCTTTGTGCTTTTCAAGAGAAAAAAATATTAAGAAAACCGATGGAATGATATTTTATCTAAGGTGCTATTACAGTGAAATTCTTAATTGAGACATGTTTAGCTGACTTTGAGATATACTTTTAATTAACTGTAATTTAAACACCATGAAATATAAATGATTATGCTAATAGAACTATATGTAAATCAAAATGTGTTACTCTACCTAAGCCATCTGTCACTCATGCTCAGAATAGTGCTAATTGCCCTTATATTGTTACATGCTTCATTTTTAATCAGTCAAGTCCGACGATTCGGATTATTAGGGTGTAAGTTTTGGATTTCCAGAATTCGTCCTACCGACCTCAGCCATTTGTTTGCTTGTAGAAATAAGTTGATAATGTGTTGGGCAGCTTGACAAAATAAAAAGACGAAAGCAATTTCAGTTGAAGGGGGGGGGGTATTTTTGCAGTTGGGGGGCACTATCAACTACCAAAATTTCCCTGACATTTTTTTTTTTTGCATTTTAACCGCAGAGCACAACTGTAGCAATGTTTTCTATAATATACTGCATGTTTTCTATAGTATACTATATATCGGCAAAATTTTTGGGAGGTGCCCCGCAGTGGTTCCTAAGGCCATGCAATTTTATTGTCATGTTCTAAATTTTTAATTTACCGGGTGGGAGCAAGTACAAATTGAAAATTTAGAACATGACAACTATAATAAAGTGCATCGTTAGCATTTTAATCTATATTTCATAGTTGCCTAAAAATTTTTAGACTTATTTCCCGGAGATGCAGCTAAGAAATTCAACCCTGAATGATATATTTCAAATAGGAGACCCTCTTTATAAGTAACACTGCAAAACTCATGAAAAGTAGAGTCATTTGCTTTTCAAGATTTTTGCAGGTTTGTATTTTTTTTCTCGCTTTTAATTAGCCCTCCCCCCTCCCAATTTGCTTTCGACGCAAATGATCGATCTATGTATAATTTCAGAATGTGAAAATTTTATGGGGTTCAAAATGTTGGAGCAAGATAGCTCATCCATGTATATCCCATATACTGCGTCACTGTAATCAGGAATGGTCATGTCCCTTTGTGAGGTCGTGGTGAGAAGAGTCTGGGAGGGAGGGGGGGGGGGCAAAGAATTTCACGTGAATGATGTGAGTGCAGTTGAACATACATTTCAATCATCGGGAATATTTTCACCCCATGAAATATTTATATGTTTATGTTTATGTTTATGTTTATTCACCAATCAAGGGCCCACGGGGGGCATGAACAATTATTACAAAATGATAACATTGATTACAATTCTATATTAAGGATAATGTAACATGACTAGTGATTAAGTTTGACATTGAGAAGTGCATCACCACACTGGATCAAAGCATAGAAACCATAGAATGATAAAAGAAAACACAATTAAATAAAAATGATAGATATAAGGTAAATTAAAAAAAAATCTTGTAGTAATGGCAGTACTCTAATATAAAACTAGTGCATCTTGAATACAAAGGGCACCAGGGGATGATACCTCTACACAGCCAGTCTGGCAAACCTGTACCCTAAGTATTGAAGATGGTCATTCAAAAAAAAAAATCATTTAAGTATTAACAGAAATAGTAATTTCAATTAATAAGCACTTAGCATATAATTATAAACTTAATGCAAACTAATCTCTTGGAGTTAGTTCAATAGATATTTGACATATGCATACCCACATACACTTACTGTTACACAAATCCATGCATACAAAAATAATAATTTATATACAAATATATGTATGTATAGTATATATTATAAACATACACTTATTGTTACACATATCCATGCATACAAAAATAATAATTTACACACAAATATATGTATATGAGTGACGCTTCTGCATTAACTTTTTCTTGCAAAACAGTAAGTTACACACAGAGGAATCATTATATTTGAGACTATAAGCAACTTTTAAAAAAAAACTAAGAGATGCAGCATCGTTTTTCCAAATCAGTGTCTGTGTGTGTCGTGAACTGGGGATGGGGTGCCGCGGCTCTGTTTTTGTCAAAAACAGGGGTCGCTATCGGGCTTTACTTAAAAAATTCTATCCCGAGGGGGGGGGGGGCTATCCCTACCCTCCTACTGATTGCTTATTAAAAAAATATTCACTAATTAAAATTTACCTAAAATGTCTTTGAAATTTTAACATATTGTATTTTTATACCAAGAGCTCGTTACAATGTTTTTACTCGGAATTAAACAATTCGTACGTATAAATACCTATTTTAAACTTCTTTATTCTATTTCCGGTTTGATTTTTGTCAATCCCAGCAGCCGAACAAAAGTAAATAACACGCTTTGGGTAAGTTAGAAGCAATTTCGGGGATAATAAATCTAGTACTAGGCCAATTAATGTAATTTAGCACGTTTTGAAAACGATACAATATGTGTGAGGTCAGCTCATGCTTATAGTTATGACCAGTTTAATGGCTAAACGGATATCTACCAGGATTCGTGATTTCCGGCAATCCAAACATTAAAGTTCCACCAAAGGGACACCTTTTAGGTTGTAGAATTCTTTTTGCAGTGCCAAAGTTTAGTAGTGTACCTATTTTTTTAATATCTTGAGAGTTACATCTCAGTAAATATTTTCTATGGAGTCACAGGGGCATCTTATCCACTCTGTTCTCTACTTCACATACAAAAATACACAAGGGAAGAATCGAAAGTAGCACACGATTTTTAAACTAAGTCAAAAAACAACTTACTTGAGAAAAGTTACACAAATCCTGAAATGAACTAGCGCAAATGATGTCCTAGGACTTATCCAGGCTAAAATATTCCAAATATATCCATCGAAAATAGCTTTTATCCAACGAAAACCCCAGCTTTCTGGACAGTGTGAAACTCTTCGCCCAAGAAAAGATAACTCACTTGGATGACAATAAGGTAGAACCCGAGGCCTTCTGAGTGCAATCGGAAGACTTCGAGTGGATAAGATGCCCCTGTGATGGAGTTGAAAATGTTTCAAGTTTTCAGTTAGAGATTTTTCTGGGGTGTAACAACAAGCAAATGAATATGCAAACTTTGAAATAGTACAATTATGAAATCTAGTCCTTTTATCCAAGAGTATACATGGGCAAAAGGATGTTTAAAAATTGTAGGAAGTGAAAGCATTGTGAAATGATCAACAGGGACCTTAATACTAACAGGATAGGCAACTCCTTCATTGCCATGTTTATTTACCCAAAACATTTTCAAACTACTTTTGCCTGCTTTCTGATTAATGTTATTTATTCCTTTTATGTATTGGAATGTATTTTCAATAATTTTTAAGCATAAGGCCTATTATTAATTTTTAAGCATAAGGCCTATTATTTAAATATATTCAAGAAAACAAACACCGAAATCATTTTTTTCTTGGAAATACAGCCGATCAGGGGCATGTGCTGATTTTGAAATAAACATAATTTCTATGAAAATAAGGAGTGTAATCACTACTAATCAGTGATAAATACAAATCTTGAATCATTTTTTTATAGATATGTAACGGGCGGTTGCCCAATAGTCCCAGAATCAATTAACAGGAATCGATTTCAGTTTTAAACGTTTATTTAATTACAATAATAAAACATCAATAACAATGATGACAATGCTTACAGGTCAAAATAGACCGCTCTCTCCTCCAAACACGTTCACTTCCTTCAGTATAAAAATCAGCACCTTCAAAATTACAACAGTCGTCAGTAATGATACCGTCAGGCTAACCCGGACCGGGACGTACTGTGACGTCATACTCATAACATAAAAATGACGTTTAGCGCACAATCAATAGAACAATAAGTATTACGCTAACAAAATAGCACTAGGTATATTTTATACATAATAAACATAGACTTATGCTAATTTAATATCAGTCAATGTACAAAAGTAATAATCAATTACTGGAATATTAATTAATAAATATATTCAATAAAGATCTCAACCGTCACACTCCCCCCTTCCCAAGACCTAATGTACAGTAGTATTGGGCACCTGAAAGTGAATCTAAAGAATCATCGATTCTCGGTAAAGGATAACTATCTTTGATTGTTTTCAAATTTAATTTTCTATAATCAACGCAAAATCGAGTGGTATTATCCTTTTTCTTAACCAATACGATGGGCGCTGCCCATGGTGATTCACTCGGCTCAATTATGCCTTGATTTAGCATTTTGTCTATTTCTTCATTAGCTATCTCGCGTTGGTGTATAGGCAGTCGCCTAGCAGGAATTTTTACAGGTGTTTGATCTTTAAACTTGATTTTATGGTGGACTAGGTCTGTTTGACCTACTCGTCCATCTGGTCCGACAAATATATCTGAATACTGAGCTAAAACTTGTTTAAGTTTATTTTTCTCATCTGCTGACAATCTGTCAGAAACATTAGACATAAGAGGACTTAAGTGGTCTGGTAAGTCTTTCGTTAACAGTCCGTGATTGTCTTGTCTAACGTCTTTAGACGCTTGTGTTTGGTGATAAATTTCTGTTACAGGCTCAAGAGAAGCAACATAAGCGTTTTTCTTTAATATGACTGTCTCTGGGGTAGGGTTTAAAACAGAAAATACCACTTCAGAGTCTTTTGACTTTATTATTGACTTTGGTATAATGACATGTTTTTCACCCATATAACCTTCAAATGGTTCTAAAATACTGTCAATTTCGGGCAATTTCCCTTTGATTTTCCCTTTCAGAAATATTTCTGACTCTCCGGGAATTTCACATGTTTGAATTAACTGAACGCGAGCGCACGAATTTTCTGACACTGACTCATTTGTTAAGGCCAAGTCAAAATTTTTGAATTTCAAAACACCTCTGCCGGTATCAAAAGTGACACGATTACGAGCTAAAAAGTCTAATCCGAGAATTCCTTCAAGATTTCCTAAATCGGCTACCATAACCGATTGACTGAATTCGTCATTCGCGATCCCTAAATTCAAGGTACAGCGACCTAATACGGACATAGGTTCTCCATCAGCGGTCGTCAAAATAGACGATTCGTTCTCCAGTTTTACATTTCTCAAAGAATCGAATATTTGCTTCGACAGCAGAGTAACCGCAGAACCCGTATCTACAAGCATTTTAATATCTGAGTTTCTTACTGAAACTTTTATAAACCAGCAGTGTTGAGAAATAGCAGCTAATCTAAAGCTATTCAATGGCCTTACATTTTTATCAAAATTTTTATCACAATTGTTTGTCTGAGCTGAGCCTGTGGCCTCCATCCCAGCTCGTTCTAGTTTAAATCAGTATTCTCCTCGGACTGCTGTGTCCTTGGAGTCCTAATCATAACTGACTCGTTTTTCGCGTAACTTGAGTTCTTCTTTGGACAGTTGCGACTTATATGACCTTCCTCATTGCAATTAAAGCAAGTGAACTTTTGAGAGTCACGCGATTTAATAGGCGGGCGCGTGTTGTTTCTCTGTTCAGTTTTCTCTACCTGACTGGGTCTTTCCGGTTTATGTAATAAATTCTTTAGAGATTCTTTGACATCTCTCATCGAATTCTCTAATCTATCAAGTCTAGATATCTCAAGGTTTGAATGACGTGAGGTTTTCTGAATATTCTTTTCAGAATTTCCTGCGTTTGTCAAGGCCATAACATTCGAATGAACGGACTCGTTCGGTTTCCGTAGTACATTGTACGAACCCTCAAAGGCCTCAAACTCTACAGCTAATGATATAGCTCGAACCAGGGTGCTCGGGTGTGCGAACTGAATGTGTCTTTTGATATCTTGATTTCCTAACCCGGAAATATACTGCTCGACAATTAAACTCTCTCTCATTTCTATAGGTATAGACGGAAATGCGCGACTCGCGAGACGCTTAAGCGCATAGCCATATTCGACTACTGATTCTTCGCGATTGCGACGTCTATTTCTAAACTCACAGCGATATGCTGTAACTCGTTCAGGTGGGCAAAATCTCTGCATTAATACAGATTTTAATGTCTCGTACTGACATAAAATTTCTCTGGGTAATTCTCCTAACACGCGCTGGGCTACACCTCGTAGACTCATAGCAAGTTGAAGCGCTTTTTCATGATCATTCCATTCATTCCACTCAGCTACTTGCTCAAAATGACACACATAATCATTCCATTCAACTTTATTTCCGTCAAAAGTATCCGGTTCTTTCGGCTTTCTATTTACAAGCTTTGGACTTTTCTGTACATTTGCAGCTTTTTCTCCAAAGTTTGTATTTTCTAAGTCATTGTAAAAAGCGTGTTCATTAAAATCGACATTTGCCCCTTTTGGGCCTCTCCTAGTCACGTGATTTGTAAATGTTGACGGCGCGACATGTTTAGAATCAAGGGGATTTCTTGTGTTTCTTTCACGTTTTGGATTATGTGTGAATGTTTCAACTATGTCAGGAGTATTTATTCTCCTATTTGACACACGTTGTTTTGAATCACACGATAATTTTTCATTCGTACCAAAACAGTGGGGAGGATTTCCTTGTGAACATGAAAACAAATCTGATTCAGCGTGCGCATGCACTTGTGTATCTGGAAAGAGGTACGGATCACGTTTCTGTGATGAAAGATCAGTGATTGAACTACAATTTCTGTGTCGCGGACAAGTACAAGTGTTAATTTCATGGTCTGATTTTGAAAAACACTGGGCATTGTCTGGATATGATTTAGGTCTAACGACTGAGTTATCGTTCTTTCCATGACCTACAAGAGGCGGATCATACATTCCATGATATACGCGCTCGGACTCGTACTCGGTCTCTGAACAATCGATGTCTAGGGGTAAGTTCTGAAGTTTGTTATTAGTTACTGATTTATTACATGTGGACATGTATCTACATTCGCCGTTATTCTCGGAAGATCTGTTTTGATCTAAGGTAACAGACTTATCGTCTGTAGTCGGTCCGCGCATTAAGAAACTTGGTGTGAAAAATTTCACAAACCCATTAAAACCACTTGACAAGTTGTGTAAAAACGATTCATTTGAAGCCATTGGCTTTTTTCCTTATGCTACACAACACAAAACAACAGTTAAAACTAGAATCGATATCCCTCGGACGAAGCCCCCAAAATATGTAACGGGCGGTTGCCCAATAGTCCCAGAATCAATTAAGGTCAAGATCTAGTAAATGAAAGGTGCCTACAGATTTATCAAACTTGAGAAATAAATTCCTTTATTAATGCTTTAAAACTTTAGCTTGGTCAAATAAGGTGTTTCGGGGCATAACTTGTGCGTAAACAAGATGAAAAACTGTATTTTAAACTGTCATTTTCAATGAAAAATTAAGAAAACCAGTCATGAATATGGGAGTTTTTTTATGATTCGGCAAAGGAAATGTATCCATATTGC